GGCTGTAGTGTGGAGGGGGTAAGGTTTCCCAATGAGAGTCTCATAGGACAGCCCTGGCTGTCCTTGAAGAATGAGCAAGTGTATCGTTGTGAGGGGGAAATTCCTCAGCCCCATGATCTGGCCTTTGTGTCATCAGTGCAATTTTTAAGTTTCTTAAAACAACTTCTGAATAAGCTTCTTCCCTGGGAATGATCACCCTGTGTCCCTGGGAGTCAAAGCAAAACAAAACCAGTCCCCATGCCCTTCTGAGCTGACCTCCCTGCCTTGAATGTCGCTGGCCGGGCAGATCCCCTCAGATCTCACCCTTTTGATTGGACCTTGTTATGAAAGAGCAGTGTGTTACAGAGAGCCCTTGTCTGCAGCCACCTCTGACTAAAGACACGTCTGAGCGCACTGTGTGGGAACAAACCTGTGAGTGTGAAATCTGGAAGCCGTGTAGCAATACTTTTTGACTTCCTTCCTTGGGTTATGTATCTAGAAACCCAAAGAAACTCTGCCCCCTCCCCCCCGATATTAACATTAATAGATTTTGAAAGGTGGTAAAAAGATTAAAACTTTTGAAAGGCGGTGGGGAAAAAGGACATTCTCACTCACTGGTGTTCACTTAGGAAGAGCTATTAATCTTTGTATACTTAGGTTGTTGGTTTTCTAACCAATTGTTGTGATGAGAAAAAATTCCTCGGTGCCATGTCTCTGGACTTTTTCTCATGAAATGCAGGTTGCAATTTTCTTAAAATTTCCTCAGAATAAGTTCGCAAGTATAACCTGGTTTCCTGCTGGAAAATCTACCAGGATTACTCCTTTGGAAGAGCACATACATACAAAAGCCCCTCAGACTCCACCACCTTCTCAATGGACCTCCAGACCTTCAGTGTAACTGTTCTGGAGAGCTCCCTGGGAGACACTATTGTTATTGGACCTTTTTTTTTTTAACCTAATGAGATTAAAGGAACCCTGGTGGCATAATGGGTTACGGTATTGGGCTGCTAAACACAAAATCAGCAGCTCAAAGCCACAACTTTCCCTGCAGGAGAAAGATTCCGTTTTCTACTCCTGTAAAGAGTTACAGTCTTGTAAACCCACAGGGGCAGATCTATCCTCTCCTACTGGGTCACCAAGCGTCGGAATCCACTTGATGTTAGTGTTTGAGGATGAGATTAAGTCAAGTGTATTGCTTAGAGAACTTGTCTGCAGCCATTCACTAACCACAGAGATATGTTTAAACATGTTTTGTTGGGGGAAGGGGGAGGGGGACCTGTACATGTATAAACTGGAATCATAAAAGCCGAAATGTGTTACTTACCTTTGTTCATGACCTTGTGAAGGAGCTCAGTGTAGTATTAAATTAAATGGTGAGGGGTGGGTGAGGGGCCAGCCCCCACCCGCTACTACTACCTTTGGGTTCAGTAAGCACAATTGTATGGTTGAGATATATAAGTATTATAGTAAAGTCATCGAGAGCATGAGAGATATTACAATAATACAGTCAGACACGTTACATAGTAGCATTGCTCACCTCAGCCCTGTGGTCCTCGTCGGGGGAACCCAGCTACAAGAGCAGGAGCAGCCTCGGGGACGGAGAACCGGGGAGCCTCTCCTGGCCCGAGAGCCAGAGAGGGCCCCAGGGATCGGGGAGAGCCTTCAGCCTCAGAACTGAGGAGCCTCTCGGGCTCTGGAGCGAACTCTCTTCTCTATTGCTAACCACCCATTATATCACTTTAGGGGGACATCATTATAGAATCACAGGACACAGAAAGGGACAGTATAATTCATAACAACCTACGTCATAGGGAGGGGTTGCAACATAGGCAATACAAGCAATAGGAGGGGGATGACCTAGGGGTGAACACGCAATAGTAAAGGGAGGGAATAGGGGAGCATGTGTGACAAGATGGGTGGATGCTGGGCTCGATATGATAGCCTAAGCTTTGTCATCCTAGAGTGGTCCCGGGCTTGCCTTCAGGCACTCCTTCAAGGGAACAATGTCAGAAGGGAATGGGCCCTATTTGTTGTGGGATAAACAGTGGTGTCTCTTTGGTCTAGACAGCTGATAACTCTCAGGGAGAATGACTCCCAATCCACTCTTGATGTCCTCCAAGTGTGCAGTCATTCTCAAGCAGCTAAGTCTGGTACATATTTGGGGGAGACAGCTTGAGAGAAATCCTTCTGCTCCCCACAGCTCAGAATACAGGCACTTAGCACAAGGAGCAAGCAGTTGTTGCCAGAGATGTAGGCTAGACTCCAACTGCTTCTTCTGAGCTAACTTTAGGAAGTCTGCCAGCCAGCTCACCTAAGGAAGCCTACCCGCACCCTTCTCCCTTCCTCCTTCTCCCTTCCTCCCCCTGCCGCCTTCTCCCTGCCTCCTTCTCCCTTCCTCCCCTGCCTCCTTCCAGGGATTGTTCTCACGCAAGCTGGCTCTTGAAATATTCACAGAATAAACTGAAAAATGACTCAAACTTCACAATTAGCCAAACAATGTTTCTAGGGCCTTGCCATTGTCTTATTGTCTGTTAAAACGTGACTTTGTTACTGTCAGTCAGTCAGCACTTTCTTCTTGTTAGTTCCTGAATCTTCGGTTCTTTCAGCTGTGGGCATGTTTCGCTGCAGTCGTTTGCCGAATCCCTACGAGCAGCCGCCTGTCCTCGATTTCTTTGCTCCAGTAAACTCTTTAATTGTAGCAGCAGCCCCAGTTTGCTCTTGACAGGATATGTCATGTTTCATGTGCTCTGTTTTTGTGGTGGGGGCGGGGGTAGTTGTTTTTAACATCACCGAGGTTAGAACAGGTTTGTTTGTAATCCAAACGTGTAACCCAATAAAAAACATTTTCAGAGTGTTTTTGCCATGTAAGGGGAATTGTACCTTCAGAGCAATATTAGCTTCTCGAATGCTTACTTTTTGAACATTGGGAATGTCATTGGTGCTTTCTAGAAACTGTGTAGCTATATAGAAGAATTGGCACAATGACTTCTTTGCCATTCCCCGGTCATCTAAAGTGGGCACATTGGTAAACCGGGTGTTGTCCGCTCCTGTCGCTTGTTTCCTAATCTGTCCAGGGGGCAGCCCCAGTTCACCAGCGCCCTGAAGATAAGCATCTTGCCTCTCCAACACACAGCGTTAATACGGAGATGGTCCTCTGAAACAGAGCCTAAGGAGTGCCCTTCAATTATTCAAGATCTTATTACTAATGGATGTGCTTTCTGTGGGTGGGAGCAGGGGCGACTGCTGGGCTTTATATTCAATCCTTGGAGAGTCAGAGCCAGCATCAGAGGGTGCTGCCTCTGGAAGTCCACTATATGTCAAGCCGCCCTGCCTCCCTGCCTGCTGAGTACTGCAGAACAGCGGACTGTGAGGAGGATTCTCCAGGAAAACCGGAAGGTAAGGATCAGTTATGTGGAGGCGGGTAGACAGCATGCCAGCTGCCCTGGGGAACTTCAGGTAGAGCCTTGGGCAGTATTTCTACGCCAAGAAAAGCGCTAACCTGATGTCCCTTCCTATGACTTCTCAAAGCAATTCTTATTTTTTAGATATAGTAAGTCTGATATTATCACAGGTGCCATCCATTTTTCAAGAACTAACCGAAAAAATTTAATGTTTGTATTAGCTTCTCTCTTGGGAAAATGTCATTTATCTGATCAAATAATGTGTTCGCGTGTGCTTTACTTCATTCATCACTGTTTAAAACAATCATGTAACATTGTGCAGTGATTTTAAACTACTTCTGATAAAGAATATCACGTGTTTTTTCTATGGCCTCATAACGCTTTTTAATCGTGTAACCTATTATTTTGGTTTAAAATAGATATAGATGAACTTTACATATGTATAAAAAGTTCCTACACGGTCCACTGCCATCTAGTCAATTCCAACTCA